AAACGTAGCCTATAGTTAGTATACTAATAGGTATAAAGTAAATCTAGTTAAGTTTATAAAGGGAGTCCTCTATATAAAGAGCATCCTAGGTAGCGGTTATAAGTAGTTTCTTAATAGCCTTCTTAAGCTTAGTAACACGCACCTATAGTTCTATCTAAACTATAATAGTGTATATAACCTTAATTAGTCTATATTCTACTATTCTATAAAGCTATATATCCGCGCTCTACTATATAGAACCCCTTATAATAGCTATATTAATAGTAATAATAGCTTATTTATAGACTACTACACTCGCTCTAATATCTATAGTGGTGCTTATAGTAACTATATATAGAGTAGCTACTATAAGCGCTATAACCTAAGCACTAAATATAGTATATAAATTAATATAGTCGATTATATAGAACTAATACTAATATACTAGTAGTTACTCCGGGTTCCTATACTAGTATCTCTAGCTCTTACATCTTAATATCTATAAATACTTTATAAGGCGGTCCTCTCTCTCTACCTCTTACTTATAGCTATATATAACTTCTTTAGTAACTCCCTTACTTTATTTTCCCTACTATATAGTACTATACTATTCCTAATATAGGTTATAATACTAGTAATTCTAATAATATTAACTATAGCTTTACGTGTATAGCTATATAGATTACTAAGAATAATATCTATTTAGCTATATAGTATATAAGCTATCTAGTTCTAAACTAGAGCCTTAATAGTAGCTGCTGCCTTACTATATAGAAGGTAATAAAGAAGAATAATAATAAAGAGGAAGAGAAGTAGTAGGGTTTTATTAACGATAATATAGATATAGGTAGCTAGTTATATATACTACTATATTAGATAGCTATATAGTCTTCTATAATAGTATAAAGTAGGTAAGATTACCATCTTATAGTCTCTAAATCTCGCGGTAATAAGTATAATACTATAGTATATCTAGTATATAATATAAGTATAGCGTTTATAAGTATATAGATAGTATACTATCTTATAGCTTTTAATAGTATTAATTAAGGCTATTCCTACTTTTATATCTTACTTCTATACTAGTAATATCTATAATACTATATAATACTTATATCCTTACCTCCTATCTATATTAAACTACTATAGATATATTACTAGTAATATATAACTAATAAGTCTAAGCGCGATATACTATAAAGTAATATTCTTTTTCTATACTAGCTTCTATATTCTTCTATATTTATAGTACTATTTTATATACTATATTCCTTAAGCGGCCGCTACGGGCGATATCTATATTAGGTAGTACTATATAAATACTATTAGAATAGGTGATACGGCTAAGCGTAATATATAACTAGCTATAGCTAAATACCTCTAGACTAAGAAGTAGGCTAATACTAGATAGGCTCTAGCTTTAAGCCTTATTAATAGTTATTATAAAGGTAAGCCTAATAAGAAACTAGTACTATATAAACTTAAGCCCTTAGTTAGAGCTAGGCGTATCTAAGGGTATATATAGTAACTATATAATCGCACTATACTTCCGTGTCTCTAGAATTAAGTAGTATAGTAAGATTCGGAATATAGAGCGGACTACTAACTATATACTATTATAGAGGCTATTATCTGGATTAAGATTATAGAGTAGTATTACTAGATAGCTAAGCTTAGGTAGAGTGTATATAGAAGTAGTTATAGGATATTAATAAAGTATAGAAACTTCTTAGAAAGGGCTGTAGCTTCTATACTATTCTTATAGTAGTCTACTAAGTAAGATACTATCTCTGCGCCTAGTATTATATTAAGTAGTAGCTAGTTTATATTATCTACTATATTATTCTTTAGCGCGAGGATTATAGAGTCCTATAGCTAATCTATAGGTAGCCGCTAGCGCCTAAGGCTAGAAAAGATAGTAGTAGTAAGTACCTTTATACTATTACTAATTACCTAGTTCTATATATTCTAATAGACTCTTCTATCTAGATTAATCTACTTACTAATATAGAGTAGCCGCTCTATAAATACTATAATCTTCTAGCGCTTACTAAGAGTAAGGTTTAGATAGTATAAGTGTATATTCTATATAAGGTAAAAGGTATATATATAGTACTATAAGATAAAATACTTAAGTATTACATTAATAATCTAGCTATAGGTTCCTTACTTAACTATAGATAGAATCTAGCGGAAGTTACTATAGAAGTATACTATAATACTACTAAAGGGGAGCTACTACTAATTATTACTCTTATTGTAAAGATTTTATAGTATCTATAAGACTATCTCTACTATATAGTAATAATATATTACTATCTTATTTTAGAAGATTAGGCGTGTCTCTTATAGTAGCTCTATAAGGTAGAACTACTTAGGTATATTATAGGTCGAGTGCTTATTAATATTAATTAGAATCTTAAAGTAAGAGTACGTGGTAGTACCTCTAGCGAGTAGGGTTATAGTAATACTAGATATTACTACTATAAGTACTACTCTATTCTATAGCCGCTAGTAGGATAGTATAGTATTCTATAGAAAGATTTTACTAGTACTACTAGAGCTATTAATAAAGAAGAAGCTGCCCTAATTAGATTCTACTACCTAGTTAAGTAGGTTAGATATAAGCTACTACTTAGTATTTAGGTATAGAAGGCTATTAGTAAGGCTAGTCTATATCTCCTCTATATTAAATATAAGCTACTTATATAAAAGATAGTTATAATAGTCTATAGAGTTCTTAAGCTAGCTATATTAGAGCTATAAGAGACTATAGCTATCTAGTATTTAGTTATAGTAGGTAAGGATTATATAAAGTAAGTAGGTATAAGATTCTTAACCTACTTCTAAGTTAGCTTCTAGATGCTATATATAGTCTATAGCTAGTAGTAGTAGTTATTTATAAGATAGCTATAGAAGTAATTCTATAGTACTATAGAATCTATAGGTCTATAGCTTACTAGTATAATTATAAAGAGCTTATATAGCTACTACTCTAGCTAGAACTCTATAGCCTCTACTAGCACCTATAAGTACTCTCTATTATCCTATAATAGCCTATAGGTAAGGTAGGTAGTCTAAAAGGTTATGTATATCTAGCCCTTAAAGATATAAGTATTCTTAAATAAATACTAGCTAGCGATATTTACTAGTAGTAGGTATAAATAATATACTTTACCTACTACAATAGAAAGCTATATTATATAGTTAACTATAAAGCCTTGATGCCCGGCTTCAGGGCGACCCTCAAGCTCTATCGTCAACTCTTCAAGCGGCGCTAGCAGCTTCATATATCTATTCAGCACGTCCCAATCGTCAGCGGTTAGCCGGTCTTCGAAGATAACCAGTGACGGAGCGCCAGGATCCTTTGGCTTCTTGCCTTGCCGCACCAATCCCTCATACCGCACTTGTTCGGTATCAATGAAGAACTCAATCGCAAGCCGAAGCTTAACAGCGCGGTCAATCATCTTGTAAGTGGAGTTCCACCTTGTGCTGTTGTCTTGGATAAGATCTAGTGTCACCGGTCTAGCAGCGGCATCGTCCTCGGTCTCTAGAAGGGTAAGAAACTCTCTTTGGGCTTCATGAAACCGGGTCTTGCGCTGAGGTGACTTTTATATATCCAGACAATAAGGTTGTGTAGCCTCCCAATTGGCCCCCTCCGGCGCCAGAGCGTCAACTCGTCCAGTAGATCCTTCCGCGCAGTCAGTTCGGCTTCAAGGATATCAACCTCGCTCCCAAATAGCGCCTCCCTTGCCACAAGGTTCAGGATATGACCGACACAACGCAGCCGGCGGTGTTTGGGGTTGAAACCGAAGCGTTCAGCAAGCTTGCGCACACAGAGATCGTTGTTCAACGCGTTATCCAGCATAAAGTATCCAAGCTTATCCTGGATCCTAAAGTCTTCGATAATGGCTGCCACCGTGTCTGCGATATTGGCGCCTGAGTGGCTACCTTGCTGCTCCGGTAGCGCAAGCAAGAAGGTCTTCAAGGTGTTGGCGGCGGCATAATGGACAACAATCCCATTAAGGCTAAGAAGGTTCCTAGATGTCCAGAGGTCAAAGCATACATGGATACGTCCTTCAGGCTAATATTTACCCTAGGGGAATTAAAAGCGTAGGGCATTGAAAGTTGTAGGGGACTAAACATTTTAGGGCGATGAAAACCCTGGGGCAATAGGAGGGGTACGGATTGAATGCTTGAAAGTTTCCCCATATCCCGGCGTATCGCCATGGCGGCCAGTAGGCACGCCAGGATGTAAGTTGTGGTTGATCGCCTGCATGGATCCGGAACTGCTTGGCTGCTTGAGGGTGAGAAATGCCCCACTGCCCGTCATCTCGAGACGCCGACCAGTCAGGAATACCCTGTAACCGCCACAGCACCAACATCTTAAGCGTGACTGACGCTTTTAATTATTTTATAGTGAGAGTCAGAGCTGAGGGTCACGACACCATAGAAAGGGACTTTGTATAGACTAATCCAGCATGAGCAAGACGTCGATTAGTACGGCGCGGGTGCTCCAAACTTGCGGGCTCTGCTACATCCAAATCTCCTGCACGGGCTCCTTCAGCCACACTCTAGCCGTGGCCAGGTTACAATGTTAGGCATTTCTATAGAAGGGACCGCAACGCCTTGTTTGACCACCTATGATTGGCCTTGCTTTCAGCCGCAGCTGTTAGAGCCAGGAAGCAAACGCGAACTGCCAGCTGCTTCCAACGCGCGACGTGCCTCGTGATCCCTGCTCATACGTCCCACTCACCCCGCTCAGCGCTTGTGCCGCGACCTTGCAGATGCGATCTGTTCGGCTCGCTGCGCCTCTCTGCTTCAGGCTGGTGCCTAGTATCGGTACGACAAGCAAGAACGGCCTTAAAAATGGTATCTGTAGTGGACTCTTCATCTCCAACTCGTCAAGACTGACAATGTCTAATCATTCAAAGCTCTGTTCTTCACTTAGCATATTTCAGCGTTTGCTGCCATACGTGTACCATCATCACGCACACTGTCCTGCCTTTCTGAATGCAGTCATGGAGCCTGCCTCCCTCGCTACTGGTATCGTCGCGCTCGCCGGCCTGTTCAACAACGCCATCGACTGCTTTGAATACGTCCAGCTTGGCCGGAGCTTTGGCAAGAACTTCCAGACCAGTCTGCTGAAGCTGGACAGTGCACGCCTGCGGCTATCGCGATGGGGCGAAGCTGTAGGACTGAGTGGAGACCTGAGCGACGTGCGATCATTGCAGCAGACGTTACGTTCAGCACAGGACGTGGCTAAAGCTGACGCAATACTGGGCCAAGTCCTAGACTTGTTCGCCGATGCAGAAGGAGTTTCCGTCAAGTTCAAGAGCCGAGCCAAGCCTGGCGACCAGAGCCTGCTAGTGTACGACTCTCGAACCGAGCTGGAACCGGTCACAGCATCCCTTCATGAAAGGATGCGTGAACTGTCCTTGAAACGCCAGAGTCGGACCGGGCTGCGACAGAAAGCCAAGTGGGCGATGTACGAGGAGAAGCAGTTCAGAAGACTGATCGAGGACATCACCGAACTGGTCGACAACCTGGTAGAGCTCTTCCCAGCTGCTCAGGCATCTCAGCGGCGTCTCTGCGAGGTTGAGGTGTCCGAGATCGGGGCAGAGGAGAGTCTTCCGGTCTTGAAGGAGATCGTCGCCAATCAGGACAGATATCTGGAAGCTGCTGTGTCGAAGGCTCTTGAAAGCCGCAAGGGCGGTTCGCCCAACGTAGTTTTCTCAGGAAACAACAACTCGGGCTTTCAGTCTGCAATCAACTACGGCACCATCAACTCGCGCTGGGGAGCAGGCGCCAAATAGAGGCTGCACGTCCCGCTCCTGCAGGATGCACGAGTCTCTGCGAGGTTTACTGATCAGCACACAGGTTTCGGGCGCGTTGGGCTCAGCAGCATCGGCGTGGTTCTTATTAGGCTCCACATACTGGTTCCTGTTGTCATGTACGTTTTCTGAGTAGATAGTGAAGAGCACACGCGCCCAACCACAGACCTCCGTGCGTGGAGAGGAGGATTAGTTAGGCTTGGTTGTGAAATCGCTGGTAGTCATGTCTATATTCGGCGGCGAAAGCTGTGTTCTGACTGTTGTTCTCCGTCCTGTCTGATAACCGCTCTCGCTCTCTCTCAAGTGACAATAGGAAGACAGCACAACCGGGGTTTCGAGACACAGCACAGCGAACCGCTCAGCCCGCTTTGAGTGCAGCATTACATAGAGACAACGATGCACGGCAGGCTGTAGTGTCTGCAACAGGAACAACAGTGGGCAAGGCGTTGGCTGTACACCGAATGCGTCGTCCCAGCCCGCAACAGTCGGTCCACTCGATATGACCACAAAATGCACGAAAGCTGCATAGGTACCCACCTTGTGGTGATTAGAGGAAAACGCGTTGAAGAATAAAGCCTCGCAATCTTGCCCACGGATCCTACCTCTGTTCTTCTGTTGTCTGCATCTAGGGCACCAAAGCGATCGCTGCAGTCACCATGTCTCCATAACGCCAACGGACCGTACCTTGGTTGAGATCCGCGGACCCGCCCAAGCACTAGCACTCCCACATGGCCTGGCGATCAGGCAACCTAGCATGAACGTCAAGACATCTTTTACGAACCAAAACTTGCCAAGAGTGTGCCGAAGTCCGTACCAAGTTGCTTGCTATTGGCTCAAAAGATAACGGGCCTGGGACAGGAGTACTTGAGAACAACCTATCGCCCAGACCGTTCTGACACCCGTCCTGTGCATGTACGGTGACTGGTGGGGGCCACAACAAGGCATGGGCGCTTAATCCCGTAGGAAGGAATGAGACGAGTACCTCGCGCTTCGGTGGATACAGACGCGACTTTCCGCGCGAAGAAACGGACAGGCTTAGACAACGCCTAGTGCTCGAGCTGAAAACGAGCACATATCCATTGTCAGCACCTTAAGAGTTAACTTTTATAGTGTCTCAGCTCCACGACTATCTGTTGGCTTATACAAGCGGCCCACAGCCCGAACGATGAGATCAGAGTAAACCTGTCTAAGATGGCGAATGCCGACATCAAGGCGCACTTCTCAGGCGACAACAATCGAGGCTTCCAGCAAGGGATCAACTATGGAAAGATCTACAACACCTTTGGCGACAGATCTGGTATTCTACCCTCTGCAGAACGAGCAGCTGTTGTCGAGCGCTAACCACGTTGTTCCCGTGCAGAAGATCGTCAGGGAGAATATCTGGCTAAGCTGCCTTATGCTGAGGGCGCCGCTTTCGACTCCTACCTTCGCCGACACGACCCACAATGCCTCCCCAACACCCGCGTCGAGCTCCTCCAGCAGGTGAGGGCATGGACCGATGAACCTGGTGGCAGGTGTACCTTCTGGCTGCACGGCATGGCCGGCACGGGCAAGTCGACGATTGCGCGCACTGTCGCTCATGAGCTCAGCAGGCTCAATCTTCTCGGAGCAAGCTTCTTCTTCTCCCGTGGTGGGGGTGATCTTGCTCGCGCTGCCAAGTTCTTCACCAGCCTCGCTGTTCAGCTAGCAAAAACGTCGCCCGCCGTCAAGCAGCACGTTTGTATAGCGGTGGCCGAGAACCCCGACATCACCCAGCAGGCTCCGCGCGATCAGTGGAGGAAGCTTATCCTTCAACCGCTCTCCAGCTTGGAGGACGGCTTGATCGAGTCGCGGCGGTTGGTGCTTGTGATCGATGCCTTGGACGAGTGTGAGGGAGAAGACGACGTTCGGCAAGTGCTCCAGCTGCTTGCCGAGACAAAGGAGCTGAAGACGGTCCGACTGCTTACCTTCGTGACGAGCAGACCTGAGACAGCCGTCCGCCACGGCTTCCGCCGGGCTTCTGGAGTGTACCAAGACTTTGTGCTTCACAACATCGAGCAGTCCATCGTCGAGCGGGATATCCTTATCTTCCTGGAGCACGAGCTGGATGATATCAGGCAACAACGAGCTCTTCCAGCAGGGTGGCCTGGTCAGCAGAAGATAAAAGACCTTGTGCGCCGGGCTGGTGGGCTGTTCATCTGGGCGGCAACGGTGTGTCGGTTTATTAGAGGCGGCAGGAATCTTGCTGAAAGACGCCTTACCCTTGTCCTCAAGGGTGGCACTGCTGGACTAGACAGCATGTATACCACAATTCTGAAGGACTCGATGAATGGGCAGTTCGACGAGGAAGAAGAAGAGGAGGTATCCCGCTTGTTTCGAAAGATTATAGGGTCTATTATCGTCTTATCCGAGACCCTATCTACTGCCGCCTTGGCTAGCCTGCTTGATGAGCCACGGACAACAGTGGACGGGACTCTGGGCAACCTGCGTTCTGTCTTGGATATGTCGGATGGCCAAGGCTGCCCGATCCGGCTGTTGCACCCTTCGTTTCGCGACTTCCTGCTCAGCAAGGAAAGATGCTCTGACCCTCAGTTCTGGGTCGACGAAGGGAAAGCACACAGAGAGCTGGCCGACAGCTGCCTGCGAGTCATGTCGAGGGGCCTGCGCAAAGACATGTGCGGTCTGCAAAAGCCGGGGGCGCTCGCCAGTGAGGTGGAGCGCAGCACGGTCGAGCGCTGCGTCCCCACGGAGCTGCAGTATGCGTGCCGCTACTGGGTGCATCATCTGCAGCAGAGCGACAGCGGCCTGGGCGACGGTAGCCGAGTGTACAGCTTCCTTCAGGAACACTTCCTGCACTGGCTTGAGGCCCTTAGTCTAATAGGAAAGATGTCGGAAGGCGTTCTTATGGTGGCAGGGCTGCAGATGTTGCTGGCAGTGAGTGGGCCCCTAAGTGCTATATTATAGTGTTAAGATGCTAACATAGCTATTAATAAGCGGGAAGCAAACCCTGCTTTAATGGCGATGCTGCAGGATGTGAGGCGCTTCATGCTCGCCTACCGGTTAATTATTAAGCAGGCACCACTTTAGATATACGTCTCTGCCCTCATGTTCGCGCCAAAGAGAAGCGTAGTTAGGAAGCAATTCTGGGACCAGGTGCCGGAGTGGCTTAAAAGGACGCCAGAGGTGGAAGAGGAGTGGAGCCCGTCTTTACAAACTCTAGAGGGTCACTCAAGGAGAGTTATAATAGTGGGGTTCTCACTAGACGGCAAGCTCCTCACTTCTGCGTCGGGTGACAGAATAATTAGGCTATAGGACCTAGCTATAGGAGCCTCGCGTAGCACTCTACACAGTCACTTAGAATATATCATAGTAGTAAGGTTCTCGCCGGACGGTAAGCTCCTCGCTTCTACATCGTGGGACAGAATAATTAGGCTATAGGACCTAGCTATAGGAGCCTTACGCGGCACTCTATAGGGTTATTTAAGTAGGGTCGCGGTAATAGCATTCTTGCTAGACGGTAAGCTCCTTACTTTTATATCGAGTAATAGAATAGTTAGGCTATAGGATTTAGCTATAGGAGCCTTGTGCGGCACTCTATAGAGTTATTTAGACTTAGTTATAGTAGTAGGGTTCTCGCTAGACGGCAAGCTCCTCGCTTCTGCATTATGGGATAGGATAGTTAGGCTGTAGGACCCGGTAATAGGAGCCTCGCGCGGCATTCTATAGAGTTATTTAAGCGGGGTGATGATAATAGCATTCTCGCTAGATAGTAAGCTCCTTGCTTCTGCATCGTGGGACAGGATAGTTAGGCTATAGGACCCGGCAATAGGAGCCTCGCGCGGCACTCTCCACGGTCACTTAAAGGTAGTTATGGAAGTAGTGTTCTCGCTGGACAGCCAGCTCCTCGCTTCTGCATCAGATGACATGATAGTTAGGCTATAGGACCCGGCTATAGGAGCCTTACACCGCACTCTCTATAGTCACTTAGAGGTAGTTACAGAAGTTGTATTCTCGCCGGACGGCCAGCTCCTTACTTCTATATCGGATGATAGGATAGTTAGGCTATAGGACCTAGCTATAGGAGCCTCGCGCGGCATTCTATAGGGTCATTTAAGCGGGGTCGCGGTAATAGTATTCTTACTAGACGGTAAGCTCCTCGCTTCTATATCGGGTAATAGAATAGTTAGGCTATAGAACCTAGCTATAGGAGCCTCGCGTGGCACTCTATAGGGTTATTTAAGCTAGGTCACGGTAATAGCATTCTCGCTAGACGGTAAGCTCCTTACTTTTGTATCGGGTGATAGAATAGTTAGGCTATAGAACCCAGCTATAGGAGCCTCGCACGGCACTCTATACGGTCACTTAGAATATATCACGGTAGTAGGGTTCTCGCCGGACGGCAAGCTCCTAGCTTCTGCATCATGGGACAATACGGTTAGATTGTGGGATATAAGAAGCAATGAACAAGTCCAACTATTCAACACTCCTAACGTCGTTCAGAATCTGTCTTTCACCAGCGATGGCTCATGCCTTGAGGCAGATGGGGGACAGATCCAGCTCGGAAGTCCTTCCACACACAACGAGCAGGTCTCATTGTTATCATCGCTATCTGTAGATAAGGGCAAGCAGTGGGTTATCTGGAACACCTATCCTGTTCTCTGGCTTCCTCCAGAGTATCGACCTAGCTGCGTGGCCGTTCACAACAACACCCTTGCGATGGGACACTGGTCAGGGCGAGTCAGCATCACCAGCTTCGATCCGGGCTACGGCGATCTCGGTCGCAGGCAAGAGGTGATGGAGCTGATGGAAAAGGCGGCGGAGGCAAGCCAGAGGACATTGGACATCAAGCATGCAGGCACTCACTTGTCGACGAACAACCTTGCAGAGAGCTAGAGCGTTACGGGTTGCAGGCAAGGAGCAAAGGTCGAAGGCAATGACATGCATGAGGTAAGCCGGAGGACGCTCTTGGATGTGTTAAATCCTTCGATCATGCTGACCTACTGTAGCTCAGCCTTGGAGGGCAATCTTGCCCGCCACAGAAGGGCAAAGCGAGGATGCGTGATAAACTAAAACGTCGGCTCAAGAATTCGCGACTGGCATTGCAGGCAGAGCAATCTACACACTTGGGTTCTGGGCGTTCTGGTAGGTTTTCCCGGCCCAGATCCTAGCGTCTAGACTACAAACAGCACGGATTCGCATTAGCTTGCGCTAAAGGGGACTGGCAACAAACGATCCTAGTCTCATCCTGCACGTAATCCATTCCAAGCTTATGCGACTGCTCTCAGCGACGAGCAGGCTTCCTCGGAGATTGGAGGGTATGGGCTAGTCTCCAGCTGTCGCTGAGTATCTACTGACGGAAGGCATGTACCCGTCGAAGGACGAACTCGGCTGAGAGCGTAAGCTAGCCATATGCTAGGTTTAAATTGATCGAGACGATTCCGCTTTTGATCGTAGTGTGATGTACCAGCGTGAACGAACTGACGCCTGGGTTCGTCCAGGAAATTGCTTAAAGATCCATCTCCATTCTTTTTCCTCCTTCTTCCATCGGATTAAGCGCTTATCATCTGCTGGTGACCAGCGACCGTGTTTCCTAGAGCTCTGATGCTCTTCATCGTCGTCCAAGCCCTCGTTATCGTAGTTCAGGTCATCTCCGCTCAGATCGCTGTCGCTTAGGTGCTCATTGTCGTCGCTCGACCACTCATCCTCATGTCGGGCAAGGGCTTCCGGTCTTGTCATTCGCTCCTCACCATCTCGGTGGGTACGATTCGGCTTCGCGATAAGGCTGGAGGAGAGGTTGGCGTTGTCGGAAAGATTACGGATGATACCTGTAAGAAGCCACAGGTTTGACGGGAGCGACTTGACATTAACGTCATCAAGCTTTCTTGGAGCGCCCTGGAGAATCGTGACTGATGGGGCTCCTAGAAACTTTGCTATGTCGCGAGGGTCGCGAATGATAGCTGTCACAAATGCCATGTTGGACGATGGGAGCGGGTGAATAGTGACATTACTTAAGTTTTGCTGGGCCAGTTCAGACGATTCGTTAACGCGGCGGTCATACAATGGCGGCGTATCTGCGAAGTTGGAAGTTTGAGGCGATATGGGCGACCGGAGAATAGCCGCTGGCTCCGCGTCTGGTCTGAGAGCCCTGACCGTTCTGGTCGATGCCGAGAATGAGCGCACTACACCAAACAGATCCGTCAGCTGTCTTGGTCCACAGCAAGCGGGTGCGGATTCATGAAACCCACGTTTGGTCGACTTGCAGAGCTAGAGAGACTGTCTGCTTGCATCTTTCGAGATTCCTCACGACCTTATCCACCTCCTTGCTCTCGAAGGGCCACTTCAAAGCTCGAACACCGAACCGGCTCATAGCCTTGCGTGTCTTCCCCGGATCCAGTCCCTTCTTCAGCTCTATCAGCTGTGTGAAGCAATCCTTGAGCGCATCGCGCAGCTTCTGGGAAGCCGAGAGCTGCGCGCTGTCCGGCCTATGAAGCAGCCGCTCGACTTCTCGAAGCACATCGGCGACGCTGTTGACCTCCCCTCGGAGGCGTTCGATATCGTTTTTGGCATCCTTGACGGCGAGGGAGTACTGAACGCAGAGCGAAGCGATCTTCGCAGACAGGTCGACGATAGCGATAATGTTCGCTGTTACTCCAAGTGGCTCCATCCTCGCGCGACCTTACGAGAGAGAGCGGCGGGGAACCGGCGGCGATCGGCGGGGACTGGTGGGGAGCGGGGCTACCGATACCCTCGATCACTTCGAACACCTCAATCTTAGTATAAGAGCGTGGTTCTAATACTGTGTTGATGGCTTTTCAAAACTTATAGAGTCTGGATGTTACACATGCGATAGATGCCATCACGGTCGATAAGTTGGGGATGGTGAAGCCGTCGCGAGGCTGTCAGCGCCAGCTAGACGCGCAGAACAAGTGGCAGTGCATGGCGATCTACTCTCAGCCCCCATGCAGCATCGGATGGCTAGCTTGCGTTCTCCGATCAGGCTGAGCCGTTTGCTGCATGTTGCGCTGCTGGCTAAGTCCAAGCATTCCGCAGCTCGCAGGGCCTGCTGTTGGCAGAGACACTGGCTAGGCCGTTTGGCTCTGGAACGGCCGGAGAAGTACGAAGTCCGTCGAGCGGCAAGTGTGGATTTATAACAGTGTCCAATCCGAAAAAAAAAAGAGCGTCACGACCTTCGATGGGGAGACAGGGATCATTACGTAAGCTGATCTAGCCGAGGAGCTTAGGCCAATAGAAGCAGGAAGTGCGGTTTACTTCGCGGAGGAATATTGCTGCAGGTTTATTATCCCCAACATGTAGAATTATAGCAAAGATCCAAGACGACGCCCTTAACGCGGAGAAACTCCATATTTAGGCCTGCAACACTCTTCCCTTCCGAAAAGCTAAACATTTGTTCAGTTCTTCGAAGGGAAACATATTGGAATTATATAACTGCCAAATTATCCCTCGGTCTGGTGAACTGGGCGATTCGTTAGCGAGCCAATCAGATTACAGCATTTTAGAGGGACGATTGCTTGCTCATGCTTGCTCAATTACTGCCAAAATCGAGGCTTGAGAGAGTTGAATTGGTATGTATGACGTCGTCTATCTATGTGTTGCCTCTCGTGCCAATTTCAGGTGTTCTACCCAGCAATCTTCCATGCTACAGAGTGCTACACAGCAGAGTGAGCACCCATACGGCGATTTAGGCGGCCTTGTAGTGCTCCGCCGCTGGCCTTTGCGTATACAATTGCTAGATAGCTCTTTAAGTGGCTTCCTTTTTATCTTGCTTGTCTCGCTTGGCCACCGTAGCTGTACCTTCCTCCCTGCTGCCTCACAGGCCTTGCAGTGATTCAACTTGCCCTTCTCATACTTTATATGCTCCTCATCGTCCTCCGCTGGGTATACAAGGTCTACTAGAGGTACAGAGGAATCGTAGTGGCTAGTGGTGAGTCGCTCTGAACGCTTGAATAGCTCAATGGCAAGGTCTTGGCGGAACTTGCGTTGCTTGGTGTACCGTTCGCAAGGCAGATCTGGGTCGTGACGTGCGTAGTAGGAGAGCTTGTAGCTGTTGACAATAGCCACATCTAGTAGCCAGTGCCAGAGAGGCTTCCATGACTTTAGATGGACCCGTTGGGTGTTGTAGTAGATGCGTAGCTGATCTGCCTTATTGACACCGTTCATGAAGTGATTATAGAGGTTAATAAACTCAGGAATCTCTAGCTCCTTAAGAACTTGATCGCTAAAGATAGCACGAGTAGTTCTGGCGTTAGTAGCTGTGATTGGAGGTCTCTCTCGAAGGCGCTTTATGAACCTGTCCCCCTGAGAAACAGTACTCACAAACAGTACTACATTCTGATCCTTCCTGGCGAATTCGAGTACTTTCCCATCCTTACTTAGGCAGCCGTACAGCTTCCCCCATGGGATTTGACCGCTAAAGTTGTTTTTCAATTCCAGCAGCGATGGATCAAGACCTCGGTCCTTCTCTCGTGATTGTTGCTGAGATCGCTGCTGAGGTTGCTGCTGGGATTGCTGTGACTGCTGGATATTTGGAGCAGTCTCCGCCAGATATTCAGCCTTCGTCCTAGTCGTTCGGACTGTGCCAGCAGCACCAAACCCCTGCTCACGAAGTGTTGACAGAAGGCGGGCTGACGTGAAGAGGTTATCCAGCCAGACAACGTGCCTGGAATCGTTCTGGATACCAGCCTAGAGTAGCAGATCCAGCACCACTGCTTGAGTAGCTGGAAACCCGCGATCTTCAGTCCAATAATCATCCAAATCTATTAGTCCTGTGCCTCTTGTGTGATATAGCCAATCCAGTATATAGCCATCGTTTGCCAAAGCCCATGTCTTGAAGGCTTCAGGAGTGGGTTCCGATACTAGCTTCCGGTTCCTATGGAACAAGGCTATAGACAACGCTGTCCATAGGCAAGGAGGGTTACTAGTAGCTACCGCGCTTCTCTTCGTCTCTTCGTCCGACAACAACTTGATTACTTCGGAGTCTCCGGTCCTGCAAGCCCAATGCAAAGGCGTCCAGTTGGTACTTTGAATGAGACCTGGTGGAAGAACATGTAAGAGTCTTCCTACAACCTCCGTAGAACCCCCAGAAGCCGCATAGTGTATAGCGATGTCACCCTTCTTGTCTTTTGCATTACGATCCACGCCTAAGCCTAAGAGATGATCAACGGCCCCTAGGTGACCACCTCGCGCGGCAAGGTGAAGAGCAGTCCTTCCCTGCCCATCGGCAAGATTTCGATCTGCAGAATGATTTCCGATGAGTAGGCGTAATAGTGACACGTGACCATTGAATGCCGCTGCATTCAGCGGGTTGCCGCATTATCCACCTTGTGCGTTGATGTCCGCGGCCTTGTCAACAAGAGCTTTTACCCAATACAAGAGACCGTAATGAGCAGCAACGTGAAGCAGAGTAACTTGCGACCGTTGTGGCTGATAAGGATTCAAGACGTCCCAGAACAACCTCCAAGCTTGAAATGCGGCAGTATCAAACCTTTCAAAGCATGAAGGCAAAAGCTGATTTGACACGCCTCTACTTTCCGCTTTAGCAGCGTGTTCGAACAGTGAGTTGATGGCGTAGCGAAGGAATGGATAAGCAGTGGTCAACCCTTCTCCTAACTTTTGCTTTTCATTCCAACTTCTTCCATGGCTTACGCGCCTGCCAAGGATCCCTTGTATAGTAATGTAGTTGATACACGTCTGTTCCAATAGGAGATGACCTGTTCCAACAGCGTCTTTACCGGGTGACGAGTCAAATATATGGAGTATATGCTCTTTCAACAGAAAATCTCTCACCGATTCGTGAATAAATCGAACTGTGGCTGGGCCGCCGCTTCCACTTTTAAGAATCCCGGCTAGGCCTCTTGACCGCTTGCGTAGAAGCTTCTCCATTTGCTCGTCTTTTTTAACGAATGCTGGCGATGCCTCACAGTCCTTCTGAGTTTTATGGGCCGTCCCGAAGGCCAATCCATAGCGTAACTCCGTTGCTGTCAACGGTCTTTGCGCAAGCAGCACCCAGAACATTATCTTTGCGAACTCACGGCGTTCGTCTTGAGAAATTGAGTCGACGATCTGCTTGAAAACATCGCTTAGCCCTTGCGGAACGGACGAGACGATTGCGAACAGTTTGTCGTCTGTTTCTTCATCAACAAGCGCTTGCACAAGTTGTCTGACAACGAGTACGACCCATAGAAAGACACCTAAAGCTTTAGCGGTTATCGACTCCGATAGAAGCTGGACGGTTATGTCCGAGTTGATACGAGTGCCAAGCTTGGCAACAACGTAGGTGGAGATGTCCTTTGTGTTGCAGTCCTCCATCCGAATCTCGGACCAGTTGTGGAGCTGGATGTTTGGGTAGTGGCGACTTGAGAGACAAACTCTGAGCTTGCAGTTGCTGCTCTTCGCAGATATTGTGGCGTTGGTAAAGAAATCTGCTAATACATGTTCCTGCAGTTCTTCTAGCTGCCATGTCCAACCCGGTTGGTGGAGGTCCCGTTTCTGTCGATAGGTCGGCAGAAGAGCGGTTAGTACTGCTCGAACTTGCTCGGATAGTTGATTCAGCAAAGACCTGAACATCCCAACCATACTCTTTTCTAGAAAGCCACCACGTGCGTTGAAGAAGAAAGCAACCACCATAACATGGGAAATTCTTGTGCGGCTTTTCAATTTACGCATAAAAGCCTCCTTCATCAAGGTGGATTTCCCGGCTCCTGGCTTGCCTTCTATCCAGAGCAGGTCGTTATGCTGGGTAGAACTGTCTGTGTTATCCCAGCTCTGATAGGTCGGATGGCTGAATAGCCAATCACAGGTCTTCCCAAGAGCGCTCTCAACTGTCTGGCGGCGAAACTCGATTTCCTTGAACGATAACGACCGCAAGCATTCTTCAATAATGTTAATATCAAGTGGAGCTTGGGTAGTCTCAACTTACCTTCCTCCTCTTCGCTGTAGAAAACCGATTCAGCCGGTACTGCTGGAATATTGATATCAGCTGTTGTGACAAGTCAATCTGAGAATGAGAGCCCTTAGATAACGATGTGCTTTAGTAAGTGTGGTCTTTTAGTCGGATTCAATGCAAGGGTAACAGGAAAAAAGCCCATAGAATTGCAAATACGAACATTTACAGAGAGCTATATGGACTAACCACGAACAAGCAGGCCAATCTGGTGAGATACGGATTGGAAAGCAGAGCTGTGATTGTGACCGAATCGGCATATCTCCCGGTGATCGCAGCCATCCATAGGCACAATAGTCTCCCCTGGAATGTCCATGACACCGCTGATATCATCAACAACCTAGCTAGATTAGAAACACTAAAGCTGTAAGAATCAAAGCGAGAATGACTCACTCGTTCCTTGAGGGGGGGGTGTTGTCTTCTGCTCAACAAACGATACGATCTTGAACTTTGAAGCCCGATTCCTGAAGTTTGTTGAGATAGACTTTAGCACTTTTGAGTCCTTCTCCAAAGACTTTATGAGATCCGTCCTGATTCGCCCCACAAATCCTGATGAGCCGGCCAAAGCTACATTTACCACATTCGCTAAAACTTGGGGATACTGCGTCGCACCTGAGCCATGATGAGGTGTACCAAGGAACAGTATCCCGGTAACGGCGCTCCGAATACTGTCGTATTCAGGTGCGTCGAGTACTGCTAGGATGAGTGCCTTTGTTGTTCAGCTTATACTGTTCGATTTACGTGATGGAAGCTTACCCGCTTCACGACGATCCCACCCATGCTGTGACAAATAAAGATGATCGGTCGCGCTTGCTACTGGGATTTTCTTAACTGACAAGAGGAGAGAGATTTAAGAGAGGTGTTAGCCCTCACATACCTCCGGTCGATGTCTGACCGCCGACAGCTTTACTAGCAATGACCTTGCAAAATCGTCTAGCTTGCCAGTATTGAGGGTGAAGGCAACTTCGGAAGGGTATCCGAAGGAGAAGATCCGAGCGCCTGGAAACTCTGAGGGCAGGAAATCTCGGAGCCAAAGCTGACCATTTGAATGTGTCCAAGTGTTGAAAGCATCACCGTTGATGCCATGGAGAGCGACCACATCAGTATTGCACCTCGCTTGCTCATTGCGGTTGGTGTCTTCACATTGCTCCTTGTTGAGAAAGAAGAGCCCATATTCCTCCACTGGTATGTTGTCAGGTCGGACTGTTTCGAGGAGTAAAGGCGGAGCCACGCCGCCGGCGGCGGCAGAAGTTTGTCGACCGGGTCGTTGCGGTTGAGATGCGATATGAGTCATGGGTGGAGACGTGGACTCAGGTTCCACTCTTGAGGTGTCGGCAGGCTGTTGGTCGGATTGGGCTGGCTGGCTTAAAGGAGCATGGGCGGCGGTGCCACCTAAGGAAGCCGCACTCGGATTGCTGATCGTCGAAGGTTTTTCATATGGTGAGCGCTTGCTCTTAAAGACATCTTTAAGCTTTTAGAAGGCGATGGCGCCATGTTCGGAAAGGCCCTGAGGACGAAGTGCAGATGGTGAAGATGCGAGCCCGAGCCCCAGCTTGGATGCCATGCGCGTCGCGGCTGAGCTGAATTGATCGAGCTGTCGGCCGAGATACAGTTCCGCGACAAAAAGTCTGGGCCGCTAAGCGGGGATCACCACACTAATTTGTATGCAGCTCCCCACCCCCTCCCCAACACCACCACACAACACCATGGCGCGCGCTGCATTGGCTAGTATATCACCCAATACTAGAAGGCGCGATCAAGAGCTATCACCAGCATCACGCGGAAAGATCCTTGCGTGCGCAGAGGACGGGCTCTCAGTGCCCGAAATTCAACGCCGGACTGGCCTTCCAAGAGGGACGATCCGTAACACAATTTCGAAAGCTCCTTGTCGTCAACACCAGCAGTCTCTCTACCTCGAACCGGCCGTCCGAAAGCTTACTCCGAACGCGATGAACGCCATATACTGCGCGCAATCACGGCTGACCCCGGTATCACACATAGGCAGCTGAAAGAAGACTCCCAGCTGCGGATATCTACTCGGACTATTCAGCGCCTCCTAAAAGAGCATAATATTAAGAGATGGCGTCGGAAGAAGCGCTTTGCATTAACGGCCGAGCACGTAGAGGCAAGACTGAGGTGGGTAAGGGTATATCAGTACTGGACGGTCGAACAATGGCGCTCAATCATCTTTAGCGATGAGCGCTGCGTAGAGCTGGGCAAGGGTAAGCGGCAAGGGACCGGCTGGGTCTTCGGAACACCAGGTTAGATGTGTAATAAGGAGACAACTCAGCCTACTCATAAGGGTAAGCGTCCATCCACCATGGTATGGGCAGCAATTGGGGGTGTGCCCGGCCGTTCTGACCTTATTATAATGGAGCGTGATGAAAACGCACCCAGGCAAGGATATTCAGCTCGATCTTACGTTGGGGTCGTCGAGGAAGCTATGCCAACGATAGGGGACCCCGGCCTTACCTTCCTGCAAGGCAATACTCCTATTCACAAGGCGAAGATCGTGCGCGATTGGCTCCAAGAAAATTCGATTCAAACTATGGAGTGGCCGCCATACTCCCCCGACCTAAACCCGCAAGAGAACGTGTGGGCTTACCTCAAATGGTACGTCTACAAGCTCCGACCGGAGCTGGATCTCTTCGTCAATAAGGATGAATCTTGAGCTCGGAAACGCTACAGTTCAAGGGAATCACCTAATGGACATTTTGGCAAAGCATCGTATATCTTTGCACAGTATTAAGCTGCAAAGAATACAGTTAGTAGGACATTATTGGGTTAAACTTCGATCGGGGTTGCACAACCTTCCAGCAAGAATAGAACTAGAAGAAGTGCTTGAGGAGAATGAAAGCTTTAATGTAACATATATAGCTAACAAATGATCCTTATCCGCTCTACGTTCCGCTATATCGCGCTAAATCTCCAGGAGACCGCCCTTTGCATTAAAAGAGACCCCGGACGTCCGGCGCTGCTGTCACCTTAAGAACGCTGTGGCACGCGGTAAGAAGATGCCCTAATAGGTAGATTCTTAGATCGGTTCGCTCATACAATATCTAGCCTCCAGAGCGCGCACCTTAGCTACAAGCACCGCTGAGGAGAAAACGGATATTAACAGGATCAACTCCGAACGTATCCACCCCTCACTACGCCTCCATAGCGCGCACTCCAGTCACAGGCACCGCTAAGGGAACACGGACGGAGGTAACTCCCACCGTCTTAAGGAGATTCCCAGTCCTCTATAAGATAGACCGGTCATCCCACCACTACGCTTCCAGTTCATCAAACAATCGATCTTTGCAGAAAGGTGTTAAGAAGGCCAACCCAGCCACTATACTCGGCTGCCAGAAGCGCCGCCCACACATAGGGTAGAATATCGATTGTGAATGCACGAGGAAGTGCGACTGTCTTGAATATGCGGCTGTCTTGAATATGCGGCACGGGGCGTGGCTGCTACGGTCACGGGGGCAATGAACGGTGGATTGAGAAAAGGCTTTTGCACAACATTGTATGTTAGTTGCTTAGATGCATTCAGAGGGCGGAGCGTTTTGATGTTAAAATTCCGTCATACTCCAAGCGCGTGAAATCGCTACAGAGAACTGTTCCGTTATGTGTCCGCGTTAGTAGAATTGAGATGAGGCAATTTCTATTACATTGCAACATAATGATGTCTCGTGTCAACTTGGCGGTGCGCCTTCGAATCCACCGTATGCTTCCAAGATATCTGCAGCGACGCACCTCCTTTCCGAAGATTCTGACGTCGCTTGCCGCCCGTTGTCACATGATTAACTGTCCAGCGGCGGGAGGTTCATAGAACACACATGGAGTGCGGTGCTCAGGTGGGCAATAGCCGAAGGATTGTGGCCGAGATTCAGCATCAAGGCCCAGATAGCTCGACAGAGCTACCACCGCATGCTCACATCTTAATGATGACCCGCTACTGATTATAGGAACAAAGCACACAAGGACAATGTTTGGAGTAGAAGCACGAAGGCATGAGGGCACAGAAATACAAAAGAGGTAAACCAGACTCACGCTCTCGATCGTAGCTTTGTGTATCAACGCACATAAACCGCCCCAGCGCTTCTGCGTAATCGGTCAGCGATCCAATTCCACTGCTTCCCCTCCTGTCTCCAGGCAAGTAAGCGCTTCCCCTCCTCTTCTGACCATGATCTACGTTTTGCACACTGCGAAGCCTCCGCATCGCCCCCTGAGTTCTCGTCGTCGTCACCCGCATAATGCTCATCGTCATGCAGCTCAACAGCTCTAACGTTCCCAACCTTGCGGCGGACACCGTTCGACCGCATGAGTGTTCCATTCTCTGGAGGGGCCTCTACGCCTCGACACTGAACAACAAAGCACTCCAAGAATGTCAGGTCTTCTGTGAGCTGCCTGGTGGTGAGGTCGAAAGGTAGTTGTGCATCGCCAAGAATGCCCCTAAGCAGCGTACTTAGCTGGGCATGAGACAATGTTGGCAAGGAACGAACACCCCGAATGCAGGCTGTTAGAAAAGCGACATTTCCCATGTCTTCCGAGAGCTCATGGAAGTTGACGTCGGTTATCGTTGGCTGGGCCTCCGCGGCTGCTTCGTCAACCCTGTCGAGTTCAATCTGCGCTGGCGCAACTAGAGCTGGTAAGGATGATGGTAACGGGGCAGAGGGATGTGAGGCCACAATGCCCCTTATGCGAGGCCTCCCCCTGCGACGGCGCTTGGGAGGCGTAGGAGAGGCTTCGGCTTCCACCAGAGCGGACTTGGAATAACCCCGCTTCCTTGTGGACCGTGGTGCACCACCTCCAGTCGGTAATGATGCCGGTGCTGACGATAGTAGTTTCGCCTGCTCATCCTTATCATTTGACTGAGTAGTCACATCACCCGCGGGGTCGGCTGCTCGGTCTTGATGCTTCGGGTTAGGGTTAGGGTTCGTGGCTGGCAAATATACGTCGTACTTGGTGGCGCTCCCTTGGCTGGTGCCATGCTCTGTGGAGTGGGTAGGCCATCTACGGCTGCTGATTCCAGGAACTCGCTCGTGTTTTACTGCTGAACAGGTGCGTTACCAGGAGGGATCGACTGCATCTGCCGATGGAGTCTCCGTGGCTGGTTGATGTCAACTTGTGGAGGCGACATGCGCCCTCACAGTGGATCTGGACGTCCACTCTGGACGCCGTTCGGTGTCTGTGGAGCTCGTTGTTGCATTCGTGTTCTCTGCTGAATAGCGTTTTGTGGCGGCTGCGTACCATTCGGTAGTTACAGAGCCGGCATTGACTGCACCGACTACCGTGACTGAGGCGGTGGTACTGAGTGTGGAGGTCGATCGTTTGACCGCATCCCGGAAACGTCAGCGGCGACTTTTGTCACAGACGCATAGTCCAGCACTACTTCGTCTGGATGCCCTTTGCTAAAGTCCACCTCGTCGAATGGGTCACCACCAAACTCATCCTCGAGTTCTGTCCCGTCAGAGAGATTTGACTGATTTCTAGCAAACCTCGTAGCTCGAGGCCTTTCTTCTGATGGCGCATCCGCTATCGCTTGTTTTGGTGCGACCTTGACCTTCGTAACCTTCGATAGGTGTTCTTTGTTGTAGTTTCCGAACACATTCCCGAAGTGCCGAAGAGCTCTTTTGAGAGCATCTGTGACCGCTTCTTTCTTCGCCTTCTCGAAGGCTGCCGCTTTGCTATTGCAGTTCTCGGCATGACCGTAGCCAATGTCCTGACTTGTCTGTCAGCAACCAGAGCCACAAGTGAGCGAGCTTGTCAAGCACACATCATGGAACGTGCCATCCTTCAGAGTCACCCGAACGATCATTGACAGTCCCAAGGTGATCTGCCCAGTACTCTGGTTCTCGTCTACCTGTACAGACCGTCACTACCATAGTCATCCCAGCCCAATGCCACGAGCACACACGAAGTCTATCTGTGCGTTCCGAATTGCGCTTGACCAGCCGTTGGACCCAAAGACCTCATTTGCCAAGATTATGACCTTCTCGGCAGCCAGATTGTGTTCTCTGCCTCCGCCTGCGCCAGGGCTCATGGAGATGTATTCCGGCCCTAACTGTTGGTCGAGCTGACTTTGTAGCGTACCAGTCTCTGGTGCGGTATGTTCTTGTGTCTGTGGCATTGTCTCTTCGACACGATTCGGAACGGTGCTCGCTGCGCGGTGCTGGTGGCCTGGCCTACGGGAGACATTAGCATATTGAGCGATCGCTTTGCCAGCGACTTCCTTACGAAAGGCATGAGAGTATCGCTGTGAGTTGAGTAGCGGGCATATAGGATGCAGGAGAAGCGGCGAAGTGCCTTGGTATCGGTGGGTGCTTTGAGCGACATGACGTATGGGTTGATGCGCGGCACGACAATCGGCGCCAAGCCTCTTCTATCCTCCGACCTTACGTTCGAGGTGCACCGCAAACGTCAAGGATTATCTCCCAGAATCACCTCGTGGCACTTCACGTGCAGTGAGGGTATTTTCTGAAGGATAAGATCTAGATCTCAATCTCTATCTCTATATTTGCGGTGGCCAAGAAAGAGCACTAAATCCTATGAAGAAAGAGTCTACCGCGTTGACTCAAGGACACGGCTCTAGCTATGCCAAGCATTGCGAGCCTCCTCTGAACGCTCTTCATATTGGTATCAGTGTCGTGTACTGTACGAGAGATATCGATCATCCTGCGGAGCAGCTTCCACTGGAGCTTCAAACTACCACGAGGGTAAATGGTCGCGCGATTAGGATCGATTTAAGAGTCGAAGACGATGGTGTCCGCAAAGTTTGGTGCATAGAGAGTCGTTAGATTCATCCAAGGCACTCGTTACCACCAATACATGTCTGTTTCGGCCGATTAGCGAAGCTCATTATGAAGAGCTACTGTAGAGATGACCGTCTTACATCTTCAGAACGTTCCGCAGGGCCGCACCCGCGTTCTAGGCAGCGGAGAAGCCTCATCTGCGGAGTCCTTAAGTTGTTTATACACCCTTCGCCTATGCCTCAATATGTGTCTGTTCTGATTAACAGCCTCAAGCGTAAATTGTGCCGCCGGCATAGAGTTTCAACCCGCGCATGGCGCCGTGGAGAGTGGCTTTGTCCTAGGCGCTTACGTTACAGCGTTCCTTACACTATGCGTCAGCACTATTGTAGATCCAAAGAACCACGCTCACCTCAGCCTAGAGAAGAGATCGTCTGCATTGACAGTGTATGAGGCAGCTCTTCGACGCCGTAGCTCTCTGGATGGGAACTTCAGTAACATCGTTGTATCTTAGAGACTGGAAGGTTACCCCAGTCTCTCGGGCCGCTCCGACGTCAGGTTCTCGTAATCGCAATCCGCAATGTAAATGACTTGACTAATAAGATAGGGAGTTGGGTCTGTCTACACGGCAGGAAGCAGCTCTTAGTTAGAAGTTACATCCTTAAGCTTACTACAAACTGTTAAGATCCTCAACAGTCAATGTGTCCACACCGCGGGCTAGAAGTCCGGCTTCCATGCTGCAAATGCGCACGTCGAATCTGGCGTTTCGTCGACTGAGAGAAGAAGATTCACTAGTGTCGGTGACTGATCCGGTGCTTGCTAACTTGTAGCGACTGTCGTGCTCTGAATCAGTCCGCCATGTTGGATGTAGTTCTGCAGTTAGTTACATCTTTCGGCTCTGGGATATCTATATCACCGAGCCTCTGAGACTCGGTGATGAGCCTATTCCGCTCCGCAGGCACAGAGTTTCTACTAGGATGCGCGCTCCAGGCGGCACTTGGCGAAAACCTTAACGAGGGTCCAAATCCGTATGGTAAGAACGTTCAAATCGTGATAACAAACTTTTAGATTAAACTATCGCATAGAGACTTTATACCATTCTAAGTTCCCACAGCCGGTATCGACGCATCCACTTTGTAGCCTCCCATGACCAGTATTATCCTTTCGCCTGGTGGGGTGCTCAAAACTGGCCCGTGCGTAGAGGTCTTGGCACCACCTCACCGCAAAGTCGTGATGCAGTGGATAGATTAAATAAATCAGTTACTCAACACCATGGGTAGAACAAGGACTTTTGGTGAACCTGATCATGATACTAATATACAAGAATCACCTCCACAACGCAAGAAGCGTAGAAAGCAACCACCAGAACCATGGCAGCTACCTCAGTACGAACCGATGCATATTCAACCTCGCACCAGATGGCACAGGACATCAGCCCTTTCTAAAAGCGTCAATCCAGCACGGCCATGGCAGATGTTCAATCTGTTTCTTACAGATGAGCTTCTTGGGACTATTGCACGGCATACCAACGAACACGCGGCGCTCCATCGCCAGCAGCCAGAGATAACCCAGAACAGTTCAGCCAGTCAGAAGTCAAGCGTATCTAAAACAACCAATTGGACCCACTCCGCCTTCCTGACTTGTACAACTTTGTGCCTCAGATTGCACAGGTTTTGGATACACTAGGTTCAAAGTCGCTAGACCAAATACTGACCAGAAAGCGACCACAAAGTGACCAGAATTCGACCAGAAGTCGCTCGACCACGTACGCATGCGAAGCGGGTGGGACTGTTTAGCCACACTTTCTCGCCTTATCTACAGTCAACATAGCGTTCTCTCAGCTTGAGGATAATGGTTAACATGCTCGATCGGTCGTTGACACCGCTCCCCATCAGTGTAGAGTGTCTGTATATTCTACATTAGAGAGACCAGCAATACCCTACTAGCTTTACTATCCTGAGTCAGACGCAAGAGCCACCCACGATTCTAGAACAGCCGTAAGATTTAGAGGCGAGTCCGCTATCGAGGTCTTCCCCGCACTTTGGCCAAGACATGTGGTTAGGTATGACGCAGTTGTTGCTATCTTTTGCGCTGTATCAGGTGTATGCGAAGGCAGAGCTGCAAACCACTTGAGATACCTCAAAAACAGACGACGCCAAATCTGGATGCCTTGCTAGTGGAAACCCACTTCGAACGTGTCTGATTTGTAAGAGGCACGAACAGTTGATTGTAATATGCAAAGGGGATGAAACTCCATCTGCTTTGCACGATTGACGCATCAAGGGCGTGCAGGTACATTATCGCGCACTATGCTTGTCGCCTCCCGACTCACGCTGGCACCCACCGCTGAGTAATTGCCGAAGGATTGCAGGCTTTGCATGGATGCGTGGAGTTGGCCGACCGAGACAAGCTAGTCGGCCAACTTCCATCTTCGGAGTTGGCGCCATACAACCCCAACTAGCAACATCAATACGGCTCAATGCTAATCACGGAGTCGTGAATAATGTCACATCGGCGTTCGCTTAATTAAGCGCCGACTGCTTATTAAGCAGCCCGGAGGTGCAACACCAAGCTCCGTTTTTAAGGCCTCTCCATTAATAAACGTGTATCCATTAATTTACCACGCTCCCACCATGCCAGATTATTAATCTGGGCGCAAGACTAAGGGCGTAAAAGACCTCACTTTAGCTCAGAAGGCTGCGGTGCTTGCGCAGCGCGATCTTGGCATCAAGTATAAGCAAATTGCGAAGAAAACTCGTGTTTCGGAAGAGGCGGCGCGCAAGCTTGTTTCCCGGTCAAAAAAGCGCGCTAATAGCTCAGACGAACTGCCAGAGCTTATTGCAGATGCAAGTATCCAAAGAGAGAAAGAATACTCCGGTCGTAAAGCTCTTATCGAGCCTGGTTCTGAGGTATACTCTCTTATCACCGTTCTTAGCCTTCTTACTTATTCGCTATAGAAATCGCTCACGATTGGGCACTATATTCTCGATAATAAGTATGAGGATCAAGCCCAGCTTCTATAGGATCTTGGTATACGTAGAACTACTCTTTTTCATATTCTTACCGACCGCGAGCACGTTGTAAAAGACCTTATCTATCCTTACCGCATAAGACACCGTGTTCGACCGAAAAAGAAGAAGCTTTCGGAATGTAATAAGTATAAACGCGTCGTGTTTTGCTATTAGGTAGTATCTAAATGTAAGCAGCACCTGCCTGGCCACCTAGCTCCTAATACAGGCAAGCTAGGTAAGGAGGTTATCTGGATCTGTAGCGATGAGACGCCAGTTAGTGCTGGAGGTGAGTATCTCTCGATTAACTCGTGTAGATAATGCTAAAAGGAGTACTCCGTAGGCTCCTCTCACCCTCGTCTACGCGCCTATATGCCGTAAGGCGCCGATTGCCACTAATAGGCCGCTCCCACCGATTAGAAGCCTCTTTTTAAGCTTATCGTTTGGGCTGCCGCCTATATCGACACAACCGTGCCTCGACCAGTTGACGTTTAGGTTAAAGAGACCTCCAACGAGAGGCAAGAGCTTCAAGAGCAACTGGATAAGGATAATAAGGAGGAGGAGGCTTTAGTGATGGCTTGCCGCAAGCGCGCTACCGAACACGGCACAGATAAATAGTATTATATGCACGATCTTAAGGTCGAGCGTCTACGCCATAACGCAGAGCTTCGGAAGCAACATAAGGTAGCTAGCAAGAAGGGCACCCCGAAGGGCTATAAGCATTCATATAAGATCAACACGGTCTTCGGCTTTAGAGATCGCAAGCGTAGTGTCGGTAAGGGCATAGATTTCTATTAGTATAGCCACCGCGTCCTCGAATAACTCCTTTACCCCTATTACCGTCGAATTCAAGCCGAAAATCCAGACAAGGAGGTGTGGTTAATTGAAGACAACGCCCGCATCTACACCTCCGCTAAGAACCTCCCAAAATGGTAGCGATATCGTAAGGAGCACGGCATCAAGACGGTCGACAACTAGCCCCCTTACTCCCCCAATCTTCACCCCATCGAGGACACGTGGGAGCTATTTTAGGATATCGTGGAGGACATCGAGGTCAATAGCACCGCGCAGAGTATTAAGGACTATGTGATTAAGTACACAAAGGAGGCGTGGACCTATTAAATAAATGGATATATAAAGGCGCGCATCAACACCACGCTATATAAGGCTGAGACGTGTATAGCGCATAATGGGAAGAATAATTAGGAGCAATTAAGCCCTAAAACTACGCCAAAGCGGCCGAAAATGAGTCACAGAGGCGCGCGCGAGGCTCTCGGTGAGCTTAACCCAAATAGATTAATTAGATAGAGCTATATACTCTCTATGCAGCCTCATTTAATTGATTGCGATGGTGGTGCTCGGTGGTGAGCGTTAAGGTCGTGTTCCTCACGTGATTTTATCCCTGCTAGCTCGATGTGACATTATTCACGACTCCATGATTACTAAAACGGACGGACACACTTCACTTAAAGCTCAGGGTTTATGTGAGACGCTAAAGTCGTCAGGCTCGGATAGGCGAGAACGGCAACCTCGCACCTGGCCCACGAAATTGTCTGTTGTATTGTTGAACCACTTCTTTGGTCTCATCAATATGTCCACTTCCGATCTATATACTCCGGCGATATCCTCCGGTGGTGATGCCGCTTGTGGTGTTACTCCCTCTCGAACATCAGCAAGGAAGCCGAAGCCCAAGTTTCCTCCGGGCTACAAAGGTATAGCCTATTTCGACGATGAAGGCGTGAGCGCTTGAATAGAACCATTCATATCAACAACACTACTGACGTTCGTTGCAGAATCCCCAAGCAGGCGATAGTCCAGCCGTAGGAGCTAAACGTAAGGCCCCTACGGAGGGTAAAAAGCGTGGTCGTCCGCGAAAGGCCCCTAGAAGTGAGTTGATCGTGGTCTTGATGATTAGTACACTAGCTGATCGATATTGCCTGTAGTCGATGATGGCATATCCGGAATCTCTCCGTGCGGCAGTGGTCCAAGCCAGGCGAGTTCCACTCCTGACCGAACACAAGGGTCGCTCTCTGGCAACTCTGCGGAACAAACGGCGCCCTCAACATCACCGACCGCAACCTCCGATTCCATCCTTCCTGCTAGCGATCACGATGGAAAGGAAGAGGCGCGTGGAGCGAAAGACAGCCTCCCTGTTAAGCAAGCGGCTGAGGAGACCTCCAATGCCGACCAGAATACGCAAAGTGCGCCTAAAAGCACCGTAAGGCAGCGAGTAGAGTCCCGGGACAAGGCTTCAGCTCAAGACCCCGCTACCGCGCTACGACCAGATCCAGGCTTGATTGCGCCAATATCGGCGGGTAGGAGCGTGCAGCCAACACCTTTTAGCTCTCCACGCGACTATCCGGCTAGGACAGATACTGGTGTGAAGTACAGCTCGCCATACACCGGGACGGTAGGAGATGGACAGTCAAGGTGCAACACGACTGTCTCAATGACTTCGCGGCAAGAAGATGCAAAAAGTGCGAACAGGAACTCCCCCCGCTCTGTTGACCCCGCCACTTCGACTCGTCAACACCGCCAAAACTCCATTCATTATGACTCAGAACGAGTTCACGACAACAAGGACAATGCAGACAACGCAGGATCTGTTGTGCAGCACTTATCAGGCTCTTTGCCCAGTGGTAGCACGGTCCAGCAACCGCCACGAGCTACAGGATCTAACGAGAGCCGCGAACAGCCACAGTCAGGCGCAGCCAGTCTAGCACATCCCTCTCCGGGTCGTGGCCAGCACAGCCCCCGCGAGCCCATCAGTCATCCGCCCATGCTAGCCTGCATCACCCAAACAGAGGATGTGCGTGGGAATGCAGGACAAGCCAATGCTGTAAGGAAGGCTGAAAACGTCAACGGAGCAGTCAGATCAGGGAGCGTAGCTTTACTGCAGTCGGAGCCAGGCGATGATGATAGTGTAAGGAAACTGGGTGAGATGGTCCTGGAGCATCGGAGATACCGCAAGATGCTCGGTGATGCTGAAAGCAAAGTTAGCGAGTACGCAGCGCGGGTCCAGGAGCTCGAAAGGAGCATCTCCTCGAAAGAGCCTGAGTTGCGGGACCTGCAACGGCAGATAAAACTGCTGCAAGAAAAGATGCAGGAAAAACAAGCCTGTATCGATAGTATGCGCAACAGTCTGCAGGGTGAGATGACTGTGGTGCAGACAGCTATGTCTCAAGCAGAGGTCCTGAAGAAGCAGATGTCCGAGATTTGGGCGCAGTTGGGTTTCTAGTTGTCCTTGCTATGATGGATACGAACACTAAGTGTGTAGGATAGTTTTTGCGTGCTCGGTTCTAGCTGGTGATCCACGCCAGTAAACTCGTTCCTTCACGTTCTTCTGAAACTTATGCTCTCTTCTACATTCTACGTTTCGACACCAAGATGGGACACGGATGATTCGGTGGTGGTTACTCTTGATTTATGAAGTGAGCTACGACTCATAGCAATGAAAGATGGTTCGTCAACGTTCCCACATCGCACCTAAAGTGTACCTGACTTCTTACAGTGTGAAAGGCTAGAGCAGCGAGCTGCTAGGCTTACAGTGGCTGGAGCACGCATCCGATCGCAATACCAGAGCAAAGGCGACGAGAGGCCGGCGGCTCTCCCTTGTAGACTGTCTTGATAGTCGCTGAAACCTTCGATTTGTTGACTACACGGACCGTAATCGAATTCTTCTTGCCGTCTTGCCGCCACATTCGACGCATAGGCTACAGCCCCTCGATGTAGGCCTATTTGGGGCTCATAAAGCGTGTCCATGGAGAAAAGGCGGTCGAAACTCTCAGAAGTAGGATGGATTCTCACCAACGAATACACATTGCCAGTAATATCACCGCTGGCTTACACCGTTAAAGTTCTGTAATCCATGTACTCCCGGGAGAAGTACAAACAAGACAAGGAGGTGCTAAGTCAAAAACTTCGAGAGAGGCTAAAATTTGCAGAACTAGTCCAATGGACATACAACTTCTGCAGCGACACAATTGAATGTGTTACCTTAGGTAATTTCTACTTCCAACTGGCACCTACGGAACACCTCGGCTTGCCCCAAGAATCGCCTGCAATCGTCATGGGTTGTTGAGCACGAGTGCATAATGTGGGGTAGCGCAAACCACGCCTGTATGTCGTTCTTCTGGCTTTGTCTATTCAGTACTAGAGTGACTTCTTACGTGTAAGGGGGAAATCACAATCAAGTGTCCGTGTTTTGAGATGTGCACTTCTAACAATCTGAATCCCGAACTGCTATCCGTTCTTTACGTTTGTGCGATAGATGATGCAAAGCACCGGGGCTCTGTTGATGTGCCTAGGCGCGTGTTCTCGATCTTCGAGATGGCTCGAACCGTTGCGCGGGAATCCTTGGCCATCCGAGGTTTGCTTTGCCCCTCGATGCTATTTTGAGGTTGCGGTAACTCTAGCTTGTTGGCTTATGCGCGCTTTTGATTCGTCCCAACCGACAGCTCTTCAGAAGAACTCCTCTCAAAACGAGCTCCGCGCGACGGGTACTCAAAAATGACCCTCTAAACGGGCCGCCCTGAGATGGGCCCATTTGGATAGGAAGGCGCGCGGGAGAAGCCTGCTGTATATGTGGAGGACCTCTTGGGGGTCTTACAGACAGATTTGGTCGCGGCAGAGCGTGAGTTCAACGTTGCAGTTGCAAGCATAAGTTCTTCAATTCGGGAGCCGTACGCGTAATGAAATCTATTGCAATTCATCGACAGTTCTGCCGATACTTCAGCCTCGGTATAGTTAACCGTACTAGGCTGTTCCGGAACGCCTCAGTAGTACTATGACTACGGTGTTTCCACCTCCCTTCGAGAAGGGCAAAGCAAGCAATGGCAACTGTGCGATTAGCAAGGTGAAGTTTGCCGCAATAAATGGCGATTAACATCTCAGAATTCGGAGGCATTTTCACCAACACACATATACTGCCAATTATATATAGGCTCTGCCATATACAGTAAGCTTATTACTTTATATAGACGCAAAATAATAACCAGCCAGTTAGTTCAAGCCTAGTTATTGTAACAAGATAATACTCACTCTAATATAAGAACTGAATCCCAGTGTTCTTAAATCTATTTCTGATACAACATATTAAGAACATTTGAGGTTAGAAGTTATCGGCTACTTAAATCTTATATTTTGTGTAACGAAACTAAGCGAATGTCACGTGCAGTCGTGCTAACCAGGCGTGCCTGGTTAGCACGAACAGACATTGCTTTCTCCCTCGCTTGTTGTTATTGTTGTACGGCCGGATACTTCGATTCCTTTCTTGCTCTTCGTGCTACGTCTTGTACATAGAAGGAAAGATGATGACTTTGATCCCTAACAATTTGTATGAGCTCCACCTAAGAATATCTTAGCCGTAGTTGGGATTCAAACGGAGGGTCCACTCTAGTATTAGACTAGCTGTTACGAACCAAGGTTCTGCTCAATCAAACAAAGGAAGAAAAGGTGATTCTGAGTCCACCCTACCAACAGTGCATTCAAGAATAGGTCCGATCCGCTTACCTTAGTCATGTGATTTGTGCACGTGACTATCTTAGCGTTTCTTCGAACCTGCGCCGATTCTCTACTAAGATTAAGCGAGGACCCTGATTTTGTATATGAATAGGCACTCTATTCGCGGTTGCATGAGTACAGGGTGGTACATAGAATAGGCAGACAATAGCTTACGACTGTAGCTACATGCAGTTCATGCTACCATATCACTACCAAAACATACCTCCGCCTGCCAGTCTCCTCTTCGTCGTTATCGCTGACCAACTCAACATCAGCCATCGTTTATACATTTCCATCGGACCATGATGCACTAGAGACTGAGTAAAACATATTGGCTTACTGAGTCGATTCTGGCCTTATAGCCCTTAGTTCTGAGTTACCTCCATTCACCTCCGTAGCTTCTTCGACCACGGCAACTAGACACACTCGGAGACTCATCTCGCTTCCGATCTCTGCGGCGTCGTGACTCCCTTTTACGAATAACCCCGAATGCGACCAGCGCGGCGATTATCACACCGAGTGCCTTTCTTACAGCCATGGTCGTAAACCGATGTATATGGTCTTCGGCCGCCCGTGATGCTTTCGGTGCGTTTAACCAATCCTGGCACAACGGGCTTCTACTTAGCGTTCCCGGTGAGACGTCAAACTCTGCTAAACGAGCGGTTGCTTAGAGTGTCGCTTACTGTTAAAAGCTTCACGGTTTCCCTGATGTACGATAGCCCCACGGGTTTACAGATGTTACCGTAGCACTTACCAGCAGTCTATGGCTTAAATAGCTCCGCTAAATATCTCCGTGATGGCTGCTTCCACAACGGGTATCCCCCAATAACAGGCTCTTCTTAGCAAAATGAAGCCCTTCGAGATTAGCCATACAGTACAACTCGAAATGATCATCACATCAGGAAAAGATCACTACCTCAGGAAACGATCACACCTCAAGAAAGCACCTCACCTCAAAAGATGACACGTCTCGAATGAGAACCTGCTCAAACATCTTCTTTGTAGAGTATCTTTTATTAGGCTATCATCTTTCTTGTGCAGGCAGATGTTTCCTCCAGCTGCACATTCCACCGGTGAGCAACGCCTCCGAATATTGCCGTTCCATTAGATTCCTCAGATGCTGGTAGAGCAAGGCTGACATGTATATCTCTCAACTTAGTGAGACGCATTGCCGCGGAGAAGATGCTCCTCAGAGTTCGGTCACGTGTTCAACCTCAGACAGGCAGCCCATTGGTGTCGCTGAGTACACGAATGGAGGCATCTAAAGCTACCGCTGCGAGAATGTCTGAGCCTTGTAATCGAATAGTCAATAGCAGTACAAAAAGACGACTCCATTGCTATTGCGGCCATAACGTGAGCTGGACCATGTACGACAACAAATTAAACCATACAAATCCATTCCATGGTTAAGTTATCAGGCTCTTTTTTACAATATCTGTCTTGGCGTATTACGGACAGGGTTATCTAAGACATGACTGGCTAGATAGTTGCTTCGGTAGCATGATTTCATTCCATTCCATTCCATTTTGTTCTTCGCGAGCTATCTAATACGTGAGTTGCGTTTTTAATGTCACCGTCATAGTTAGAGTCTTAGCGACTAGTGCTAGGTTAATCGTAGCCGTCAGAATCAAATCGACAAACAAACCACTCCTCCTCCCCGTAAATTCCACCCACCCTTCTTTGGGGGGCCAGTTCCTCTACTGGATTTTGTGTGCGCCTTTTAAAAAACCATCATCACGGCACGCTGACTTCTAAGAATCGACTTGACAAGCATCGACAAGCGCCAGGCGTGTGGGAACTGTGGGGCTGAAACAAGGCGGATAACATTGAATGTCCGGCATTCATTCCTGACCTCAGCAAAGCTCTTGGAAGATGAGACCGGCGCGTATATAGAGCTAATTAATAAATAGCTCTACTATAATACTACTCTTAATAATAAGTGTCTTATCTAGATAGCTATTAATAGTATAGAATTATAAAGTACTCTAGTACTCTATTCTAACTAGCTACTTAATATCTATAGCTAGACACCCTCTAAGTAACTATCTATACTTTCTATCTAGCGTCCTCTTATTAGTAGTGCTTTTATCTATAAAGATAAGCTATTCTACTCTCTAAGACCGCACTATATTATACTATCTAGCGCTTAGCTACTTATCGCGCTAAAGAGCTATATACTAGACTTACTTTCTTATAAACTCTATTTAGATTAAGGTATACTAGATTATTAACTCTAAGATCTATAGATTACTAATAATAAGAATCTTATATTATATTTCCTCTAAGTAGAATATAGAGTGCTTAGTTAGAAGCTTTATTAAGTGCTTCTTAATATAAGAACTAAGAAGCTAGAGGCTACTAAGTTTCTTAATTACTAGAGAGTAAGAAGTGCTAAAAAATATAAGATTCTATTATATTTATTATACCTAGCGCTAGCTAATCTTATTCCACTTTAAAATACGCTTTATATTAAGACCTACTACTAGTTTATAGTAGATGTTATCGACTTTACTAGTAGGAAGATATAGTAGTACTATTATATAGGCGTATAGAGATAGAATAGGTTAATTTTAGTCTAAAAATAATAAGGTAATTAGCGTTAAGATTAAGATACTAAGAATTTAATAGTTTATAGCTACCTATATCTATAGAAGACTCTAAGGCTTTAAAATAGTACTAGTATTTAAAAATAGTAGTTAAAATACTAAATTATAGCTTTAGTAACTAAATACCTAT